GGCAAGAGTCAGCAGGCTTAAAGATGGATTTTAAAAAGCTGCTTGTTCAAAAAATGAAGTAGACTCAAAAGCCAGAAACTGTGGAGAAACTGAACACTGAACATTAGCTAAACCTGCTGTATGTTGTTGGTTTTAGAAATTATGCTGCAGTCGGTTGTTGCTAAGTAAATGGAGCTGATTAAATGGTGGCCAGTAAGGATGGAGCGCAGAATCTGGACCAAACAGTACAGTGGTCATGGAGAGAAAAGAGTCTGTAAATACTTGTAGATACTTAAACAGGAACCAAAAAGGTCCTGGAAACAGAAAAGTTGGACTAACAAACACAAAAAATAGAGCATAAAACATAAATGGGATGCAAAGGAATGTTAAATGTTAGAAAAGATTTAAAGGAATGTTTGACATTTTTTCTCCCTCCAGATGTCCTCAGGATGCTTTCCCCTTTATTCATCTAAGGCTCTAGTCCATCAATATTAAATTATAATCATTTCTATATTCCGGTTAGTTGATGATTGTCTTCCCCATGCAGCAGTAGTTTGCAGCTTTTCTTTACTGCTACTCGCAGCATTTTGTATTGGAATGTCTATTCTGGTTTGTGTGTTAGCATCGTTTATGTTTTGTTCAGCTAAATACTCCTGAGGTCAGACGATACAGAGATATTTCAAAAGCTCCATCTCAGAGCTCAGCGTGCTAATATACAGGGCTGTCAGGAGAAGCCTTCTTTCCTGCAACACTGCAACTGAGGAGTTTACTAGACTTCTGGAGAATATTAATGATCAATCATTTGGTTTTAAACCTTAAAACCTCCCGCCACTATGGATAACTATTCAAGGACTCTTAAGTTTTCACGCCTTTTGATTTTAAACAAAAGAAATGTATCACACCATGGGTTTATAAACCAGCTTTGTTTTTATTTCAGTTTCCTGAAAACAAAACCAGTCATCAGAAACCAATCTCAAACAAGAGACTGAAGGAGTGTGTGCAGGTGACCAAGAGGGATGAAAACAGACCGTGACTCAGGACAAACTGGCTGCATCTCCAGGAGCATCCTGGGTTTTAAAGCTGGAGCGGGAAGTAAATCAGTATCAGTGCTGAAGAACCAGCATTAGATACTGGGAAGCAGAAATGGCTCTGCTTCATTGGATTAACTGGTATTGTTGAAGCTGTGCAGATCTAAAGCTGAATGAGTGAACTATTTGTTTTCTATCACCTCTATGGAGGAATGTTAGATTTAGCCGTTCATCTCAAAAAAGACGAAATTTACATTCAGTGGGTTTACTGGAAAGGAAAATCTTTCCTCCTCATGTTTCTCCTGCTAAGAAGCAGCCTTCTGGTTTCTCTTCAACCAAGTAACACTTTCACACCAGTGTTACTTGCGCGTCATACACTTTAACACTTTAGCAACAGTGCAACTCTCTATGCTATACTGGCAGCTTTTCAAGTTGGCCACTTCATTCACTTATCAGGAAAACATTCCTGTGATGAGACTTTTATTGAAGGTTTCTGGAAACCAGAAAAGTGACACATTCAATTACCTCTGGGGATGAGAAGACCAGGGAAGGAAACATGGAACAAAAATTTGGCTTGTCTAAGAACGGCATCTGGTTGACTAAATATTTTTAATTATTGGTAAAATATTATATGTGAAAAAAGTCGAACTCTGAGTGACTTTAGTCTGACTGAGGCAATAAGTAGGAGAAATGCTGCAGAACAGGAAAAGTGCAGGGCAACAGAAAACCTGCAGAAGTTTGTGCAATAATACAATAAATGTGTAAACTTTGTTCATCAGTATGGTGGTGAAGTGACTTTAGAACAGTGCTAGATGCAGTTGTGTTAAAGGTGATCCTAGAACAACTTCAAAGTTTCTGAGAATTTCCATCATTCAGAGCCTTCCAGCACCAATCTCCCTTAAAATGAAAAATCCTTTCAGGACTCAGGAATATTTCAACATTGGCCATAAATCAGGAGGCAGCTTTAACTAGAATCATAAAACTGCTGTATTTACTTTAGGGCAGCTATAAACCATCACCAACTGTGCAAACCATAAAGTATAAGGAAATGTGAGGTGACCTATGACTCAGAAGTGTGCCACTGGTGGGAATTGATGTCCGCATATGTATGTGTCGCTCTGTCAAGGTGGGTTTTACCGATTAAAACAACTGTGTGCAAGGAGATAGAGAAGAAAAATAAATTTAATTTAAAATCTTTCACTGTGGAGGGTGGAGACGTTTAGCAGAGATTTTCCTGCAAAGCACCATCTCCACAATGATTTGTCCTCCTTTATCTAGAATTCAAGGTTTTATTAAGGTCCAAAATGACGTCGGAATGCATGAAAAGATGAAACATATTTATATGTCTGATTGGACCAGCGAAGCTGTTTCATTGGCAGATCTCCGGTTATTATCTCCTAAGCTGATAAGGAGTTTAACTGCCAGACAGCTCCTACTTCCTTTAGAGAACAGCTCAGATAAGTTTTTTTTTCACTTGTTTCAGGAAACACGTATTAAAGAGGAGCTCAGCCAGTAGAGAGAGACAGCTGCAAATTTTCTATAAAGTGCATTTTAAAGTGCGTTCACTAACACAGTGCCGTGATGCACAACTTTGATGATGTTGTCTGCTCTTTATTAAAATACAAAAAAGTTTTAGGATTTGAGATAAAGTCTCACTGGTTTAATTACATGTAGTTTCAAAGTCACCTTGAGCTTAAAGAGTTGTTTTTCTAAAGCAAAGTATAAAACCAATAGTTCTAATAACAAAAAACAGGAGGAAGGAATGTTTTGACTTCCCGAACAAACCTGTTAATAGTTTAGATTCCCTGCAGTCTAGTTTCCTGTTTCCAACAAATCACTGTTTATCTGAACATCACTAGACTCCATTAAATAACCATAGGTATCCACAAAGCATCTCAGTGATGTAACTATTTACACCACCTGACTTTCCTTTCATTATGTAAACATTTGTCAAGGTGTGACCGTGTCACCCACTGAGCTACTAGCTAGTGAGCCCTGCCGGTCTGATGGGTTTGCTTTGATGGAAGGAACACTAACTCAGATAATATCTAAACCTGACTTCAGGTTGAAAACTTAAACCAAGATCTTCCTGCTAAGATTCCATCTCAGCTTTGACCTCCAATCTACTATATACTAAGAACTATATCATTAATAAAAAAGCTGAAATGCATAAAAAATTATGTCAGTCAAATAAGACAACAACCTTCAGAAAAAGAACTACATAAAGCTCAAGTTACATAGATATAAATGGCTAAAGCTCATTATAAAACCCACATGACGATGCCTTCATTATCTATACATATAGCAGATAGAGGGAGTTCTACATGTTGTGGTCTTAGCACTAAGTCTTTCAAATAAAAAACACACATTTTTTTAAAAAGAAGATTAAATAAAAACTGCATTTTATGGCAATTTGCAGCAGTCTTTCTCTTCTGGCTTTTAGCTTAGTTGCTCACCTTCAGCTTCATCATTTGCTAAAAGTCTTGTAATAAGAATAAATGCATTAATTTCCTTATGAATGCAAGATTAAACATTAAACATGCATCATATCAAAGTGGAGTTTCTAAGATTCTGTAGCAAATAAGTTGCACCACCTCTGTTCAGGGTTATCAGTTGCAAAAAAAGTCTTTCATCATGAAAATCTGAGCTGCTCTCTAAAGGAAGTGTGAGCTGTCAGGCAGGTAAAGTCTTTCAGCTT